GCGCCGCCCGCCCCCCCGCCGCCGATGGCCGCCGACCCGCCGGGAGCTGCCGAGAAGGGAGAGATGGCTCCCGGGACACGTGTGAGGTGGGTTCATTCGGCTCCTCCTCACTCCCAGACCTGGGCAGCTCCCACTCCCATGCATACTCAGCCCGGGCTCTCTCAACCTTCCCCGCCCCCAGCCTCACCCTGTCTTTGCTCCAAACTCATCTATAGTCCTTCATCTTGTTACCTCTCAATCCTGGGAAACTGGCCTTCCTTCCTAGACCCTGCTGCCCCTTGCAGACCCCCATCCCCACCTGCAGTCGCCACCCTCCAGGCCCCTCCCCTGGAGCGCTGAGAGCCCCCTTCCCCACCCCCATAGATGGGTCTAGAAGTCTCTGAAAATGGGAAAGCTGGAGTAAGACTTGGTCATGAAGAGACCCTCGGGGCATGCTGAGTCCTTGTGGGATCTTGGAGAATCTGATTTCCATGGCAAGGGGAGCCGGAGGGATTCTAGACAATTAGGGATGGAAAGCAGCATGGGAAGCTGGGGGTGGGAGCACACATAGGAGCCCATCCTGAGTTCTGTAAAGATGTCAGGCTGGATTCTAGAATCCCAAGCCAGGGAATCTGGGAGATTGCCCAGGTTGACCTGAGAGATCCAAGAGGAGGATGTCTTAGAGCAGAGGGAGCTCTGTGGAGAACAGAGGAATTGAGTGGAGGAGCAACTCTGAAGCTGCATGGTGGGGAGCGTCTCAGAGCCCTGGAAGTTGGGCAGCAGAGTGAATCTTTAGGGATGGAAGGGGTAAAGATCCCATTGGATCTGGTGAAGATGTTTAGGCTTTGGGTAGTAGTTGTGTGTGAGAGAGAGGAGGAAGAAAGAAAGAAAGAAAGCTTCAACCCAGGAATCTGTGGGTGTCTTGGGGGTAAATCTGGGTAATTTTAGGTTGGGGAGAGTGTGAAGTGAAGTACATTTGGATAAGGGGAAGAGTTGTGACCTTCTAACATAACTCCACAACAAGGAGCCCCTGTTTCCGAGAAGCTTTGATGTGGGGCGGTCAGTGGAGAGGCTAGTGTCCCTTTAATTCTCCCTGGGCTAATCAAGGAGGTTCTGAGGAAGTGTCAGAGGAGTGAAGTCAGGAAGCCAGTTCTCAGGCTCCCAGAGGAGCCAGCCAGGTGAGCTGCTTGGGAGAGAGAGGCCTTGAGTAGAGAGAGTGGTTACCCCCACCCCTTGCAGGAGAGGTGACCTTGTTCCTTGTCTCCCTAGGTAGGAGGGCGAATTCTGACTGCTTAGAAATGGGGGGAGCTGCCAGGAGTTTCCCAGGTCAGGGCCCCACTGGGCCCACCTGACCCTGTCACCATTTACCCACAGCCCTCGGCGTTGCTGACGCCCCCAATGTCGTCGAGCAGCCGGGGGCCGGGGGCCGGAGCGCGCCGACGCCGAACCCGCTGCCGCCGCTGCCGGGCCTGTGTGCGAACTGAGTGCGGGGACTGCCACTTCTGCCGAGACATGAAGAAGTTCGGGGGGCCTGGGCGCATGAAGCAGTCGTGCCTGCTCCGGCAGTGCACTGCCGTGAGTTTTGCCCCCACCTTGGGACTCTGGGTGCTCTTCCCCAACTGGCCTAAGCACCATTCTGGGGTGACTGGTGGCTGATTCTTCGGGTGTCCTGTAGAGTTGCTGTTTGTTTACTCATTCATTCACTTGTTTGTTCAAACATCCATCAGGCTGATTTTTGTCTTCAGCTCCAAGCTGGAGGCAATGTTAGGACACATTGAAGAATCCAACCTAGTCCCTACCTTCATACTTTTCCTAACTTTCAGAGACACAGTCTCATAGAAAGCCTGGCCCTTCTCATTCTTCTCTGTAGAGTGTCTGTGCACAAGACCCACCTCCAGAGCTGGCCTCTGTGAATACGTCTTAGCCTTCTTTGGCCTTTTTCTCACCTGCCAGAGTGGTCTTGGATTTGAGGCCAGGCTTACCCTTTTTGTGACCTTGAGCAAAATCACTTTGAATCTCAAGGTAACTTCTCTGTAAAATATTTCTTTTGCTGAGTTGTAAACAATAGCACTGGCACACAGTAGGTATCAGAGGAACATGGGTTTCTAACCAGCTGTCCAGAGAGCAGCCCTTCCCCAATAGCCATAGCAGCCAGCCGCATCCTGCGTCCCCCTCCTTACACCACCACCTACATTTTCCCCTCTAGCCACTCTTTC